GGGAGTTGTAGGTCCTCCCCAAGCAACTACAGAATGCCAGCTCTTAAAGGGCCCAAGAGCTGTAACAGGTGCACGGAGGTTCATACCTGTGCCCTAAAGCCCTGTTATGTGGCCCAGCACTCGTCCTGCCCAATTGTGGGAACAGAAACAACAAAAGGTTAAAAAGCTGACATAAAGAAAGAATATAAAACCTTGCATTGTAAGATATTATCAGGCCTATGGGGAAATGATACAATCTCCTACACAGACAGAGGACTATATACTGCATTAACTAATAGCTTACATTTCCAGGTGATTTTCACAGTGAAAAAGGTTGGAAACTTTCCATTCCAAGTGGACATTAACATTGGCATTTAGAGAGTCCCAGAATGCTTTGCATTGATTTCTTGTGTGATGGTGGAACAGCAAGATATGCAGGAAATGCAATTACATCATACTGGTTGGAAGGGAGCAAGCCATAAAATAAATGCTAGTTAGAGCAGAAATTGTCCTGAAATGCACCCAACCCCTTCCTAATAAGCAGCCCAGGCTCTCACTCTTATTAAGATAGAAAACTGATCACACAAAGTCCAAAGTGAAAAGAGGCGGAGTACACCATGTGTAATTACTTCCTCTGAGCAATGAAGAAATACAGAAATCATCTCAGCAAGTTCGCAGATGACACTAAACTGGGAGGAGAGGCAGATACGCTGGAGGGTAGGGATAGGATACAGAGGGACCTGGACAAATTGGAGGATTGGGCCAAAAGAAATCTGATGAGGTTCAACAAGGACAAGTGCAGAGTCCTGCACTTAGGATGGAAGAATCCCATGCACCGCTACAGACTAGGGACCGAATGGCTAGGCAGCAGTTCTGCAGAAAAGGACCTAGGGGTTACAGTGGATGAGAAGCTGGATATGAGTCAACAGTGTGCCCTTGTTGCCAAGAAGGCTAATGGCATTTTGGGCTGCATAAGTAGGAGCATTGCCAGCAGATCGAGGGACGTGATCGTTCCCCTCTATTCGACACTGGTGAGACCTCATCTGGAGTACTGTGTCCAGTTTTGGGCCCCACACTACAAGAAGGATGTGGAAAAATTGGAAAGAGTCCAGTGGAGGGCAACAAAAATGAGTAGGGGGCTGGACCACATGACTTATGAGGAGAGTGGGAACTGGGGATGTTTAGTCTTCAGAAGAGAAGAATGAGCAGGGGATTTGATAGCTGCTTATCAAAGGGGGTTCCAAAGAGGATGGATCTAGACTGTTCTCAGTGGTACCAGATTACAGAACAAGGAGTAATGGTCTCAAGTTGCAGTGGGGGAAGTCTGAGTTGGATATTAGGAAACACTATTTCACTAGGAGGGTGGGGAAGCATGGAATGGGTTACCTAGGGAGGTGGTGGAATCTCCTTCCTTAGAGGTTTTTAAGGTCAAGCTTGACAAAGCCCTGGCTGGGATGATTTAGTTGGGGATTGGTCCTGTTTTGAGCAGGGGGTTGGACTAGATGACCTCCTGAGGTCCCTTCTAACCCTGATCTTCTATGATTCTATGATTCTTGCTGCGGTGCTCTGATGTACCTGGTCCCAGATTTTATTCACCTGCCTATTCCTCCTTTTACAGCTAATAATAATGGTAATATTTAACATCCACCCCAGCATGTGGCATCATCACGGGACTCAATCCTCAGTTGCGACTGGTGCTCAGCAGAGCTTGGGTTGGGGGACTTTTTGTTACCTTCCCACACACATACCCACCCCTGGGGCTGGGCTGGAGTCAGTTCAGTTCAGTCCTCAGCACAATACACTCATGTCCCACTGCAATGGCTTCCAAGGGGCTATTCCTCCTGCTCTGATTAACAAAATGGGTCCCAAAATGTTTTGCAATGTCCTGTGTGAGCTGATATGCAGGATTTGAATTGTGGTACAGTGGTACAGCATTGTGCCTGGAGGGCTGTATGAAGTTTGCACGCACCTTCCTCTTACAGCCATCCGTAGCCAGGCTGCAGTGTGGTCTAGTTGCTAGTGAACTGGGGTGGGGTGCAGAAGACCTGGGTTCTATATCTGACTCTGTGACCTTAGGCAAGGCTCTGTGCCTCAGTTTACCCATCTGTAAAATGGGGGTAATGATACTGCCCTTCTTGATAAAGTGCTATGAATGAAAAGGCGAGATAATTACTAGGTATTCTTATAAACCATCACCTGGGACTAAGAGAAAAGAAAAGGAGTACTTATGGCACCTTAGAGACTACCCAATTTATTTGAGCATAAGCTTTCGTGAGCTATAGCTCACTTCATCAGATGCATACTGAATCCTTTATAGCAACAAATCATGAACTAAAGAACTAGGGTCCAGCTCCTCAAGGGTGTTGGTAACTCTCATTGATTTCCCTAGTTCCAGGGTCCCGGGCCAAACACCACTATGTTAATGAGAGGCTTTTCATTGATTACAAAGGGCTTTGGATCGGGCCCTAAGCCCTCTGCTTGGGAGCTGTAGCAGAGCCTGTGGGTAAGGCACCAAGTGAACTGCACATCCTACACTGAACGATGTGTTACAGTCACCCGTGTGCTTGGTAGGTGTGGTCAGTGACCTACCCACCAGTCAGCAACATCATCCTAGCAATAAAGCCACAAGGACACATTCCCGTCTCTCATCTTAAGATGAGCAAAGCTCAGTTACCTGCAGTTTATGCTGGACAGCACAAAAGGGCAAAGGATAAAAGCATCTAGATAACTGCCCCCACTTAGAGCCAGCAAAATGCTTTATAGTCCCTAATGCTTACCTGCAATTAACCTTTGCTTCTGTTTTCTCCTTCCCTTGGGACTTTCCAGTGACCCTTGATGATAGTGAGATTCCATTATGATTTCTCTTCCGGTAATTGTTTAAAGGGATGGATAGTTTCTGCAACACACCCCAGAAGGGGGATCAGTTGCTCTGGTTTCACTGACAGCCCAACACAGATGGCGATGAAAGCCCTGGAAATGATCACATTCCCCTGCTCTGTTCGGTGAAATAAAGGAGTGTCCCTCTGGAACCCTTTACTTTTTGTCAAAGTGACACCTCCCTGCTCAGGGGAGGCCAGACTGATGGAGCACAAACTCTTCCCCGGGGGTGAAATTCACCTTTGCAAAAAGCCTGAGAACTACCCAAGTCTGGTTTTGAAGGTTTAAGGGGGACATATGTGATGCCAAGGTACTTTCCTGGCCCTCTGCACAGGGATAAATTTCACCCATAGTGAATGAGAAGCACCAGGCAGCTGATGGAGAGGGGAATGGAGTCTCACTCCTTGCTTTCCCCCATCTCCCCAGGTTAGCATGAAGGGCCTGATTGTGAACCCCCAGTAGCATAATTCCATTGATCCTGCTCCTCCAGTGCTGAGGAAGGTAGCATAGAATCAGAGGATCTCAGGGTTGGAAGGGACCTCAGGAGGTCATCTAGTCCAACCCCCTGCTCAAAGCAGGACCCACCCCCAATTTTTTTTTGCCCCAGATCCCTAAATGGCCCCCTCAAGGATTGAACTCAACCCTGGGTTTAGCAGGCCAGTGCTCAAATCACTGAGCTAAAGGTAAATCGGATGCTCCTATTGACTCTCATAACATAAGGGGGCATCCAATTAAAATGAAAGGCACCAAATTTAAAACGGAGCAAAGGGAATCCTTTTATACGCAGCACATGGAATTCATTGCCACAAGATGTCATTGAAGCCAAGAGCACAGCAGGAGTCAGAAAAGGACTGGATGTTTGGGCACTGCAAACGGCCAGAGTTACATTAGAAAGGGTTCAGGAAAAGAAACTCAGACGATTCAAAGGGATACAAACCCTCATGCTTCTGGGTATAAACTAATTGGAGTCCAGCATAAACTGCAGGTAACTGAGCTTTGCTCATCTTAAGATGAGAGACGGGAATGTGTCCTTGTGGCTTTATTGCTAGGATGATGTTGCTGACTGGTGGGTAGGTCACTGACCACACTAATTGGACAGTTCCCAATTCATTAGGAGGGAACTGTCCCTGTGGGCATGGTATTTTATAATTGCCTACTTTGGTGCTTTTTGCACTTTCCTCTGAAGCAGCTGATGCTGGCCACTGTCAGAGATAAAGCACAGGGCTAGGTAGACCATGGGTCTGATCAAATATGGAAATTCCCTTATTCTAGGCAATTATACACTAGAGAGAAATTCTGGAGTCCTAGAGACTAGAGAAAAATTCTTATCAGATGTAAAGACCCGGGCCCAAATTGTGAACTGGTGTCAATCAGCATAGCTCAAGGTGTGGTCCTCTTCAACCACCCGTCAGCTTGCCTGTCTTCTAGATGCCTTTTATGGTCGCTTTTGCCAACACAGGAGAGGACGATGGAATCTGGTTGGCATAATGAGTGGTCAGCGATTACAGTCGTTAGTCACTCTCTCATCACCGACCCAACCAAGACCTGCCAAGACACCCGTGGCCATGCCTGAACCAGTTTCGAACAGGACAGAGCAATTGTGTGGCCAATCTCTTCAAAGAGGTTTTCTCTAACGCTCTATGATGCAGCTGCGGTCAACTTCAGACTATGTCGTGTCTCCTTGATGAGTGCCCACTGACTTAGTTTGACGGTGGGCTATGGGCTCTCCACCTGGCTGGGAACACTGCGCATATGCTGAGAGAGAGTGGTTAGAGCAGCGGGCTGGGGGTCAAGAGATTTGAGTTCACTTCTAGGCTCTGCTACAAACTCCCTGTGTGGTTTTTGGGCAAGTCACGTAGTCTGCCTTGTTCCTTGTGAAATGGGGATCCTACTAACCTAGCTCACGGGGAGCTTGTGAGGGTAAAATCAGTTGAGCGTTGTGGTGATCTCAGATTCTGTGGTGATGAAGGGGGGATAAAGAACCTAGACAGACGATTCTAGTGAAGTCAATGGGGCCGGATTCCCAACTGACATAGCTGCACTAAGATCTGCATTCTCGCACTAATGTCTGTTGGCTGTGATCTGGTGAACCCTTTACTTGTGCTAGCAAACTTAACTGAGACCAGCTCTCTCCTCTCTCCCAGTTATAACCCTGTGCTGTATCTTCAAGTGCCGGATTCCACGGACAAAGAAAGAGATTGAGGCCCGGTATGCACAACGGCAGGCAGCCAAGACCTATGCAGACAAACTGGAGACCGTACCACCACTCAGCGAGCTGACGGAGATCCCTGGAGGTACACCCACACCCCCGTCTCTTCTCCCAGGTTTCTTTGTGCATGCACAAAGCGCCAGATTGTCCGCGGGCACAAATCTGTGTTGCTCCAGAGAGTTCAATGGCAATCTGCACCCATGGAAAATCCGGCCCCGTAATTTACTGTGCAAAGCTCCTCTGCTTTGCTTGCACTCTTTGTGTCGTTTAACTTTCGTGACAGAAAGCACTATCGCTAAGATGAAAAGGCCAGATCCGCAGCTGGTGTCAATCCGCAGAGCTCCATTGAAGGCAGTTAGCTCAGATCCGCAGCTGGTGTCAATGAGCACAGCTCTACTGAAATCAACAATTTAACGTAACTGAGGATCCGGCCCCATTCCTTTTCCATTCTAAAGGCCACATTCTGAGATGAAGCCCAAGGGGTAGCAAATGAGTTTCACCTTTTTGTTTTGAAATGGCACTTCATCTAGAAATTTTGCTTTTATTTTTTTTCCCAAAAAGGGTGGGTAAAATACCGGAGAAAGACTCAAAAGAAAAAGAAAAACTGGGAAAAAAGTTCATTTGGGGTTGAGCAAAGCATTTTGTTTGACCCAAAATGAATTTTTAGGGGGGCGGGGTTCAGCCTCCGAACTGAAAAATCAATTATTCACTCAGCTCTATTAACATTTCCGCTGCCCCTTAAATGGCCTGCCAGTCCAGACTGCCAAGTGCATCTCTGTCACTGTGATCTTGTCATGGTTTCTTCTCCTGTCACTCACTTCTCCTAATTCTATACTCTAGGCTCTACTGAAAGCCTCCCAACTCTCTCTGGTCATGTCCAGTCCAGACCTCTCAACTCTCTGCCTGTGGTGAAGGAAGAAGATGAAATGGCCCTACAAGGAAATTAGGGGGAATGTCTGTCTGTCTGTCTCTGTGGTGTCTCCTTTCCATGGCTTCGCAGAGGAGATGTGGACTTTGGAACTCACTGTTCTCCTTTCCTTCCCTCTGTTTCACCTTCACTCTATCTTCTTCCTAAGGGTTTTCTTTTTAACATTGCTCTGTAAGCCCAACCAGTAGTCACTAGGCTTTAGAGGAGCTTAGAGGTTCATTGCCCCAAGCCTAGATCTTCAAAGGTATTTAAACTGCCTAACTGCCATTGACTTCAATGGGAGATAGGTGCCTAAATATGCCTGAGGATCTAGGTCTCATATTATCACAATCCTGGATATGGAGGGGAGTGGAGAGGCAGATAAGGAAACGGAAGGAATTCAGGCCCCGTTCCAGCAAAACACTAAGACCATGTCCAAATATAAGCACAGAAGATCTGACCCAAAGCCCACTGAAGCCAATGGAATGATTGTAGGCTAAAGTCCATGAGTCTCCCCATTTAAATCAATGAGTCAGATCCTCAGCTGGTATAGCCCTATCGCATGCAGTACAGCTATGCCTGTAGACCTGGCTTCATGGGATTGCTCGCGTGCTCAAGTGCTGTGCTGGGCTGTGGCCTTAATGAGTCCGCCTGAATTCAACAGACACTGGGTCACGCCCCGTTCCTCGTTACCTCGTGGAAGTCAACGTGCTGAATCCAACCTCAAAGTAAGCCCAGTGAAATCAAGGGATACATTTGGCCCAATGGGGTTGGATGGGTATAAACGACAGCAGAACTGGGCTAGTCATGGAAGTAGGAAATCAGACTGAAAGGTGTCTCTGGTTGTGTTACTAACTACACCTGAGATCATTACAATGGGAAGATGGGAAATGTCCAGGGCTCGGTTATCTGGTACTTTGCAGCTGGTATCAGCATTTATAGCTATGCGATGAGAGTGTAAAATCCTACCATGCTGCCTTCGCAGTGTTTTACACCTAATCTGCCCATGTATACATGATTTCTTCATTCGTTCAGTATAATTTATTATTTGTTTGCATTGCTGTAGCACCCAAACATAGATCAGGACCCCATTGTGCTAGGTGGTGTACAAACATACAATGAAAACACAAGTCCCTGTTTGGTACAATCGGTGTCACAAGCTGCAGGGCAGGGAGGAATCAGGCCCTCCTGTTTGTTTTTCCACTTTTTAGGCTGTGTGTATTCTCTTCTTCTTCTTCGCATTTCACTCAAGTTACCAGAATAACTGGTCTGGTCAGTTGCATTTTCTGAACCCCACATCCTTGGCTGTGTAAACTGATGTAGCTCCATTGACTTCAAGATTGGGGCTTTTATCTACCAAATTGTAAGACGGGCAATTTGCTCCATTCACTGCCATAGAACAATGCTGATTTACACCAGCTGGGGACCTGGCCCTAAATGGGTGAAATTTGCCCTGTGCCGAGGTCCTGAATGAGGTTTATGCACCACTTAAGTTTTATAGAGTTAATCTGGTTTCAAACTGACTTAACAGAGCAAAATTTAGCCCCAAAATACGTAGGAACAAATCCTCAACGGGTATATATTAGCATAGACCCACTGAAGTCAAAAGACCAGTGTCAGATTGCACTAGATGAGTTTCTGCCATGTAGTTTGATGGCGCATTTATTCTTGTGAACAAGCAAGAGAGAAAAGTAATTATTTTAATGAATGAATGGTCATTAAGTGCTTTGAAGTTGGAAATCGCTACTTAAGTACTAAGTGCCAATCTCATTATGATCATTAAATACTATTAACAGTTATTGCTGGTTGTTATTTGAACTTCTCCATCCCACTGTTACTGCTATAATGGAATGTACCAACTGATGGCTGGTTCCCTGAGGACTTCTTGATTGTACAGCAGGGGTGATGTCTCTTCTGGACAAAAACAAGGGATGACTTCAGATTGTGCATACAAATCTTGCTCGCCTCATTGACATGTGTCATCTTGCTCACGTCATGTGAGCAATACAAGCAGGGTTTGGCCCTTGCTCTGACTGGCGACGAGACTGCATGTTTTAAGGGCCTGATCCAGTTTCCAGTGGCTTGGCTGGGAGCTGGATTGGTTCCTGTAATGGTCATAAACAAGGAGGCGATCCGTCTTTCCCAAACTTTCCTACAAGGTGTCCGCATTTCCCGCCGATTAAAAGAAAGAGGCTGCATTGTTTTCACTTTACTCTGCAGATCCCTTTGAATAACTACCTTGTAGATACATTATAACTGCTGTGTATTGATCACACTCTTCCATGGCCAAAGTATGTTATTTTTCTATAACACATTGTGTGCACTTGTGGTGACTACTTTGGGGTTAAATGAACATAATAAAGACAGGCCAGATACTTAGCTGGCACAAATTGGTGTAGCTCCAAAAGTCAGTGGAGGAGCTATGGACATTTAAACCTGCCGGGGATCTGATTCTACAGATTCATTATTTGTAAGCTGTTGGGCAGGAATGTAGCCTCACAAGAAATGTTCTGGGGACACATGCCTCCATCTAACATTTGGGATCGTCAGACGAGGGGTTGTGATAAAAAGGTCATTTCTGGCAGATCTTTGTCACCATTTTGCACAATTATGTGGTGTGGAAAAGTGTTGATTTCCTGCTCTCCCCTGCCCCCACACCGAAATGTGAAATTTGTCTTTGAATGTTATCTCATTATTTGAAATAGAAATTCAAAATGTCAAACTTTGTATTCAAAACACAGGAGAGAAAAACAAACCCATTTTCTTTTAAAGAAAATTGTTTATTTTTAAACCCTTTGCCAGAATTAATGACGGGTTGACACAGCTAATACTTAAGGGCCAAATTATGACACACTTACTCCTGTTGAACAGTAGCCTACCTTATTATAGTAACACCCTAGATTCTCCAGCCAAGATCAGGTCCTCATTGTGCTAGATGCTGTACAAACACATAGTAAGAAACAGTCCCTGCCTCAGAGATCTTACAATATAAACAGGCCCAGAGAAGTGAAGTGATTTGCCCAAGGTCACATTGTAGGTCAGTAACAGAGTCACAAATATTAGCCAGGTCTCCGAACTCCCAGTTCAGTGCCCTTTCCACACTGTTTGTGGAATGAGGTGCTAATTGAGATGAGTACGGGTCTCAGAGTCTGAGCCTGAATAAATAAGAGACAGAAGGCGGAGGTTTGCAGTTCCTGCTCTTTCCTTGTATTGTAGTTGGCACTGAGGACTCCAAGCAGAACCGTAAAGTGTTCACCAAAGACCTCCCTGGGTCCCCAGAGACCTTCTGCTTTATCTTACTGTTAAGACACTTAACAAAACAGGGTCAAATCTTCAGCTGGTGTCAATTGCGTTAACCCCAGTGAAGTCAATGGAGCTATGCTGATTTCAACCAGCTGAGGATTTGGCCCAAGGTAACTTTTATGCAGTGCTTAATTTGTAATGAAAGAGGTGCCGGGACTCAAGCAGGTATTTTTTTACATTCATAACTGAGGAAGCAAGCCTAGAGGTGCTGGGGCTCAGCCCTGGCAAGCCCTGGCACAAATTAAGCACTATGTATGTGTAGCTACAGTTAACTCACCTCGCTATCTAGATTCCTAGTTAGAACGACTAAGGAGACAGGGAAATGATCTCAATGTTTCATAGTTACCACTAGTTTAAATGGCAGAAGTGATACAGGGTAGTCAGCAACCAGGGCCAGGTTAAGACTTTTAGAGTCCCTAAGCACTGAAAAGATTATGGTGCCCCCCCCATATGTGATTCAAAATAAAAACAATACTATACCATAAAATAAAATGTTATTTTTCGAAATGACACAAAACTTACTTGTATGCTGAAATTAAAATAGCTTCTTTCTAGATTTTCTGATTGCAAAATTCTGGATAAGTTCATTGAAGCTGACTCGACGAAGCATGGCCGCTTCCATACACAATAGGGAAAAAGAATCAAGTCTGTCCTGACACGTTGTTCTTTGAGGGTTTTTTATTCTTTTCAGCTGAGAAAAAGAGCCTTCTGCAGAGCAGTTAATAATCATCAATGTTCGAAAAACACGTAGTGCGATCTCTACATTTGGAAATACACATTGTATTCCATCTTTCAATATTGTGTCATGAAGATCAATGTGACAGAATTTCATTTTTCCTGTTTCATTAAACTTTGCGCGTATATAACAGTGGAACTGCCGTACTTCTCCACAGAGATTCATGTTCAAGTCAAGAGGGTATAAGTCAACTAGCTTTTGGGAACCTTGTGAATATTGTTCGTCAGATAGGTCCATATCGTTTAGAAAAGAAAATCTACTTGATACTTCTTTGTACACGTCACCTCTCCTTTTCATATCAGCTTCAAGTGTATCAATTATAGCATAGTAAGTAGATACATGAAATTTGTCTCTAGGATTCAATGCTGTTTCTGTTGCGCTGCTATCATTTGCTTGTTTTTTCCTGATTCGCTTGCGGGACTGGGCTTCTTTGTAGTTAGTATCAGGCAAGATCTCTTTTGATATGTCTTCAAATCTTTTGAAATCATTCCTCAAAGTGTGTAAGTGGTCTGCTAATGATTGCCAGAGGTCTACACATGTTTTCAAATCCAATTATTTTTCTTGGAGAGCTTGGCTTATGTGGTAAAAGTGTTGTAAAATTTCATTCCACATGGTCAACATGAATACAAACTCTAGTTCTTGCATCTTGTTTGCAATGTTTTCTGCCTCTCGTCTAGTTTCTCCCTTTTGTGATTGGTCTTCAGCAATACTGTCTAATGCATCCACAATCTTTGAGAAGGACTCCAGAATTGCACTTGTTGCCACGGCATGTGCCTCCCAGCGAGTATTAGAAAGAGATTTCAACACACAATCATGGCCCAAATATGTTTTAAGAGCTGCCCATCGATGTGTTGAGGCAGAAAAAAATGTATAAAGTAACTGGACTGTTGAGAAAAAACTTACTGCCACCGGACAACAATCAACAGCGCCGCGGCCAACAAGACTGAGAGAGTGCGCAGCACGTGGTATGAATATGGCACATTTGTTCTGTTCTAAAAGCTTCTTCTGCATTCCTCGATAATCCCCTGACATGTTGGCAGCGTTGTCATAAGATTGACCTCTGCACTTTGAGAAATCTATTTTGCAAACTTGGCACAGATAATGCAGTACTTGATTTGCCATTTCTTCACCAGTGTGGCTTTTCAAATTGAGGAATGTTATAAAGCGTTCAACTGCTTTTCCATCTGTGGGAAAGACATATCTTAGTACAATATTCAATTGATCAATATGTGAAAGATCAGGTGTAGAGTCGACAGACAAACTGAAGTGCCCAGCAGTACTTATTTCATCCACAATAGCTGAACGAACTTTGTCACTCATTAGACCAATGAGTTCATCACATATTGTCTTGGATAAGTATGATGGGTTACCTTTACCAGCATTCCCATATTTTGAGGTATGGCCTGCTAAAAATGGGTCAAACTGAGCCACAAGCTCCAACGATCCCAAGGAATTTCCATTCTGCAATGATCCAAATGTGTCATTTGATCCCCGGAAAGGCAGACCACGTTCAGCTAATGTTTGAATAACAGCTATAACACGCTGCAAGACATGTTGCTAGTATTCACACTCCCCTTTAATTCGTTCTTCCAATTTTTGTGTCAATCCAAAGCCCTGTCTTCAATTTCAATATGTCAACATTGAATCTCTGTAAGTAGTGCTATTTTCATGTTGTTCAATTAAAACAGTATTCCGCCAGTCACTAAATCCATCTGCAGCAAACTGGGATCTTGAAGGCTTATATGCAAAAAGTTTGCAAACAAAACCGTACACAGACCCTTTTGATGGTGAATACAGTAGCCATTCTCGAGTGTATTTCTCACCATTCGCTTTCATGCCGAAAAATATTTTTTGTGGACAATATCTTGTTTGTTTGCCATTGGTAAAAGTCCAATGTGATTTCTCAAATGGCCCAGTGTGGTGATGACAGTCATTTGGTCCACGATCTATCCAGTAAGCTACATCATCGGTACTGAAAACCCACACCCCAGGATCTTTTCTCCTATTATTTACAGCATGAGCAGGTGCAGTCTCTGACACATCCACACCTTCTAGAACAATGTCTGTTTTACCACCAGGAGTTGGATGATCAGTTACAGTCTCTGACACATCCCCATGTTCTGGAATGGTGTTTGTTTCACCAATAGAAGAATCGTCAGTCTCTGAAACACCTACAGGTTGTGGAACAATGTCTGTGCTACTGAGAGAAGATGTTGCTTCTGATGGATTTGCTTTGAAAAATGATGTCAGCTTTGGAAGATTTTGGAAGATTTCACTAGTTTTTTGTTTCTTTTCTTCCACCAGTTTACATTTCTGTGCTCCACTCAGTTGGTTATGTTTCATCCTGCCCCTTATCTCAGTTATCTGAACTTAAAAAAAAAACCAAAACAAATTACACAACGTACACTATTTTTATCTATATATATATATAATATAAGAAAGAAAAAAACCCAAATCAAGTACGTATAACTCAGAAGAATATATCAATAATAAAACATAAATGTATTGCAGTACATGACAGGATCTGATTTCCTCGCATTATTTCAATCTATGGGCGCCCCCCTGGTTTAGGTGGAGATAAGTAATAAAAAGAGAACAGAAAAACGGGGGGAGAGTGTGGAGTGGAGTGGAGGAAGTCTAACAAAGTTCTGATTTTTCCCATGATGACTACTTCGATGCTGGTTTTAAAATATCAAATATCAAATTTTTTCCAAAAAAAATCTCATTTTTTTTGGTGCCCCCCGCTTTGCCGTTGCCCTAAGCACGTGCTTAGTCTGCCCAGTGGGTAATCCAGCCCTGTCAGCAATACGGCTGGGCAGGAACCAGATTACTCATGACATGGGAAATTCTGTGATTTAAATATTCCTATTACTAAACAATAATTCTATTCCAAAAGGGAACAAAACCAAAAGTGACATTTCCCGCGAAACAAGTTTCTGAAATGTTCATTGCATGTCACTCAAAACATTTTGTTTTAATAAAATGGAAACATTTTGTTCTGGTTTTTCTCTTTTAGCTTTTAAGCTAATGTTTTATATAAAAACGTGAGTTTGATTTCAAAACCTGTTTTGAAGCAAACAAAAAAAATAAAAACATTCTGTTCCAAAAATGTCGGCATCCTTGGAACACTTCATTTTGGGGGTTTGGAATGAAATGTCATCCCAGCGGACATGTTTTTCTAAACAGCAATTTTCACTGAAAAATGGTTTTGATAAAAAAATCCCCAGTCAGCTGTAGTTGGACCAGCTCAAGCAATCCATTCCAGGATTGCTTGCTCCCGGCCAGTAACACCATGCAGGGCAAGCCTTGTTCCTCACTCTGCAATGCACAGAGCCAGGTTGAGATACCATTAAGGATGTCTGTCTATCTGCTCAGCATAGTAAAGATTCTTCCTGTATTCACAACAACCAAGTCCAGTCTCTTCTCTTCTGCAAGGTACACGCCACACCACAAGAAAAACCCCAGTCAGGTTTTAAAACAAACCAAACAATGGGGGTTCTGCTGCTTTCCTTGGGACACTGTTCCACATTGGACCGTACTGTTAGGGAATTCTCCTTGATTGTCATCTTGGGTCCAATCCCAGTCCAGTTCAAGCCAATAGGATTTTTTTGCCACTGATTTCAAGGGAGCCAGGATTATGATTAGTTGTATCCCATTCCTCCTAATATACCCGTAGATTAATAAACTGATGTTTAAATACAGCAAATCAGGGAGCCAAAGGGAAATATGCAGGGTGTTGGATTGTTAGATTAAAGTGAGTTCTGATCTCCCAGATTTGCATATGGGATGCAGGAATTGTCTCTCTTATGGTGAAAGTTACCCCAAAGTAACTTTGTTTTCTTTCCCCCTTCAATCCCTACAGCTCATGTGGCAGAAGAGAAGAAAGAGGAGGTGTCCACCGTCTCAGGGAAAGTGGACCGGGCCCAAATCAAGAAAGAGTGTTCCAAGGGATCCAAGAAGAAAGAGGGCAGAAAGGAGCAGAAAGAAGGGTCCAAGAAAGAGGGGAAAGAAGAGACCAGAAAGAAGGAAGGAGGAAAGGGTGCAGGTGAAAAGAAGCAAAGAGGTGGAAGGAAAGGTGAGAAGGAGACAGACAGAGCTAAGGCAGGAGGCAGCACCAAGGTTGGCAGCAAAGCTGGGGGGAACGCCAAGTCCTCAGCAAGGAAACCCCAGCAAAAGAAGTGATCAGACCAATCGCGGAACTGCTGATATCCCCTCCCCCAAGCACGCGCAATGCTGCAGACCTGATGTGGAGAGTGCAGTCCTCATGCCTTGGACCTGGGAACACGGAGGAGACAAAAGCCTCAGATTCTGGAGGGACATCTGGAGCTACTTGACTGATTTCTTTAAAAGCAAAATCGCCATTGCTACAGAGGTGATGTTTCCGCCAAAGGAGAACCTGCCTCGTTGGCTAGAAAGTTATCGGTGAACAGAATGGCCCGTACAGTGCTGATTGTGTCCCAGCATACAGCCTGGAGTGAGAAATAGGAGCACAGATGGACTCATAGCAGCACAGAGCTGCCAAGAGCTAGAACATCAGGAGCGAGTCCATCTTGCAATCAGAGGTGTGACTGCAGCAGGTCTAGACACACCCGAGCTAGCTTCGATTTAGCTGGCTCGAGAACCAATAGCAGTGAAACGGCAGCAGCATGGGGCTGTACAGCCCTGCCTGGGACCCTGGGTATGTACCCGAGTGGCAAGCCCATGCTGCTGCCCAAGCTGCTGCGGCTTCACTCCTTTTGGTGCCCAAACTGGACAGATCAAAGCGGCCTCGGGTACCCCTCTGACTGCAGCATAGACAGTCCCTGGGAGAGTACTTGGCCCATTCCATCTGAGATCAAGATACTCGGCAAGCAGTTGCTAAGCCTCACACCAGCCTTCTGGGATATGTGGCATTCCTTAGAGGGCATGGGTGGCGGATATCACAGGTCAGGGGAGGCTCAGCCTCCCTGAACAGCCAGGTGTGGCCCCAGCCACGCTCTGCCCCTAAGCCCCCTTCTGCTTCCGGCTCTCCCCCCATGACCCAGGCTGTGCCCAGGACTCAGGGCAGCTGGGGCCAGTGCTCGCGCCACCTGGGGCTGGGGGCCGTGCCACCCAGTCCTCCAGGCCTGGGGACGCTTGGGCAGCCCAGGGCTGGAGCATGGGGCCAGCAGCCTCGAGGGGGTGGGGTGGGGGGGTGGGAGGGGAAGCTTTGGGCTCCAGTACAGGAGTGGGGGTGGAAGGGAGAGGCCTCAGACAGAAGGGCCTGGGCTCTGGGCTATCCTCCCCGAAGGGCGGGTCACATGCTGCCCACAATAGAGGGCTAAACTCAGGCACCAAATAATTGCTGGAAGACACAACCCATAGGATGAAGCTCTCTAATCCGTGGCTATATTAGAGATGTCTTGGGAGAAGGCTCTTCTTCCCCGTGCATCTCTTCTTAACTGTTTGGTGTTTCTCTCTGTCTCAGAGATGCTGACAGAAGCACTTTCCTGGCATGAGCTAAACACACTTTCCAACAGCCTGCCTTATCCTCTGTTTTTTTACCAAAGGTGTCATATAAATGGAGCTGTATGCCAAATATAGAATAAAGAAACAGACATCCTTTGGATGTGGGTGATGCTGTGTTCAGTTCTTCAGGTCGTACTCATCATGGGTGTGATGCTAGCAGACAAATCAGCTCATGCCAGAGCCCCAGGCCAATTCACTTGTGTATTAGTATAGATCAAAGTGATCGTTAAATGTATGAGAGTGTATTTGGTGTTTAAACTTCCTGAAAACTAGTGGGAGCTTATTTTCACTTCTCTGTCTTCTGTGATAATGTACTAGCAAACATTCACATTGTGTATACCCCTGTGATTAAATAACCCATCGAACGAGAAAGAAGTCTTGTGGAATGTAAATGAGGGACTGTAACGGAAGGGTGCTCATTTCAAAGCAAGTGGTCATTGTGTGTGATGATTGGAAGTCAAAGACTTCAAATACATTCCCCACTCTCTCTTACGATAGAGACACCGTCAGAAGAAATTATAAATATGGATTCCAGGAAAGATCCTGCATCTCTGGGCTGTTTGGACTCTTACAGAAAAGGGTATCAGATGCAAAGCAGAGATCCCCAGAGACAATCTGCATACCCTGAAAAGGCTTTTGGGAAACTGGGAGTTTATTACATCACTGCCACCATTTGGAATTAAACTGTGACTCACCTGTGCATATATTTTATCAACCACTCAGTTATGTGTCTAGATTTAAACAAAACCCTGCTGCAAAATGTTTCAGAGTTTGGGACACCAGCCGGCTTTCTGCTCCGGGGCTCAGCTTCTCCCAACCCACACAGGGCACATGGCCTTCTGCAAAGCAGCTGTCCTGACCACTCGCCCTCGTGGAGTCTGACCCCAGCAACAGGGAACCTACTGGAGCAGACCCAAAACTACTACCCCCGATTCCAGAACCTTCTGGATGTGGAGTGCTAAATCTGCCCAGCAACAATGACCCAGACACAACTCACTCCTTCCTCCCCGCAATGGGTCTCTTAAAGAGATATCTTCCTATTAGGCACATGGGTTACACAAGATCTGTTGTACCACATGATCTGGGAGTAAGTGACTGGAAGCAACCTAAATGCGATGTGATTTTTGGTATAGGTGGCCTTTTATCCCAAGATGCAGTTTGTCTGGGTGGCAAGACTGGAGAGTCTAAGGGGACTGTCTGTGACTCCGTGGTAAGACAGGTGTGGTGATGCAGGAGTTCACTTTTGCCACAGGCTTAGTGAAATTGAATTATAAAACACACCACCAGTTTGGGCTCTCTGCCTGTACTCTGACAGTCTGCCCTGAGGTCGACACTTAAAGTCATGAGACACTTCAGACAGCCTGGAGGTGACAAGTGCTCCCAACTCCCACTGAAGTCAAAGGTGGTTGGGCGCTTTTCTATAGAGGGTCAGCATCTCAGGGCAGCAGGCTATGTGTGGACAAAGTGTACGCTTGCTTGCTCACTCTGTGTCTAGGCTAGTCTTTTTGCGCCAGTTTTAACTTGTTGGTTGATTACCAATTTCTGCACGTTAGCAGACACATTTGTAAACACCAGTCTAGATGCTCCACAAACATTTGTGTCCTGAAACAAGTGTTTGTGGAGCATCTGGACTGACATTTAGAAACACATGAGCTAATTTGAGTCAATTGGCACTTAGTTAACATGAGATAAAAAGGGCCTAAAGCTAATACCCTCTCTAGTACGCACACACACACAGTGTCAGAGAGAAATCATGCTGGGAATCCAACCACCTCTTCAAAATACGCAGCCAACATATTTCCCAGTTGTAACTTTTTGACTTTCCTCTTATTAAGCTTGTGTAAGGGCTGAAAGTAGCATCTTTAGGGAGATGTCCCGGGAACTCACAAGTAGGTACCATTCCCATTCAGCCTTCTCTCCAATCTGCATCTTGTGGAAGATATTGGTTGGAAAAAAGATTTGGCTTTATCTCTGCAATTCGACCTTCAGCACTGGGCTTCCTGCTGGCTTGCATAAAGCATTCCACGTCTCTCACTAGCTACCTAGATCCCCCCTCTCCCTCACCACCACAACTGAGCACCTCACAAACATCAGTGTATAAAGTCTCACTACCACCCTGTGTCAGGATCGCAACAAGGGCAGCCAGGGCCAAGGGTTGGAGCAGGGGCAAAGCTGAGGCTAGGAGTAGCCGAGGAGTTCGTAGTCAGTTCCAGGCCAGGGTCAATACTGAAAGTGAGAGTCCAAGTGAGGTTTCAGGATCTTAGTCAGGAGGCAAAGTCCAAAACAAGCCGAGGTCAAGCCAGGAGTTCAAGAGCATAGAACAGGACCAGTCATGACAGCTACAGAAGATCTACACTGTTGCCTAGACACTTCCTGGAACACCCGTTGGGTTTATATAGGACAGGGAACCAATCAGGAGCCACAGGGCTGCTGCCTGTCAAACTCTTAAGGTGGAACGTCCCATGATCTGTGTCCACAGGAGCTCATGGGAAATGGAGCGGAGGGTGCCTATAGGTGCTGCCGAGTGGTAGATGGGAGCTGTTAACTACCTCATAGCTTTATAGGCCTGGGTTCTAGACCCATGGGGCCTTACACCTTGTGAGGCCAATAAGTTCCTCATTGTAGCGTAAATCACTGTGAGTCATTTGAACGATGCTGATAGACACCAATTGTCAGCAGGCAGGATTGAATCTGGGGCCTCTGGAGTTCAATTCATGAGCTAAAAGCCATATGGCTCTTAGTCAAGGCTGTAGCAGACTCATCAATCTCTAGATGGTCTAGATACCACTAGAGGGGGACAAAGTGCCACACCCAGCAGGCCTGGGTTACACTGACCCACACCAGCTGGGTTTCTGGCCTGTTATCTCTGTTTTACAGCTGGCCAACTGAGGCACAGAGAGATTAAGTGGCTTGTTTACATCACACAGGAAGTCTAAGAGCAGAGCATGGAACTGAATGTAGATCTCTACCTTCTCTACCTTCATATCACCATCCATATGACTATTCATAGAATCATAGAATATCAGGATTGGAAGGGACCTCAGGAGACCTCAGTCCAACCCCCTGATCAAAGCAGGACCAAACCCCAACTAAATCATCCCAGCCAGGGCTCTGTCAAGCCTGACCTTAAAAACCTCAAAAGGAAGGAGATTCTACCACCGCCCTAGGTAACGCATTCCAGTGCTTCACCGCCCTACAGTTTTTCCTAATATCCAACCTAGACCTGCCCCACTGCAAGACCATTACTCCTTGTTCTGTCATCTGCTACCACTGAGAACAGTCTAGATCCGTCCTCTTTGGGACCCCCTTTCAGATAGTTGAAAGCAGCTATCAAATGCCCCCTCATTCTTCTCTTCCGCAGACTAAACAATCCCAGTTCCCTCAGCCTCTCCTCATAAGTCATGTGTTCCAGCCCCCTAATCATTTTTGTTGCCCTCTACTGGACTCCTTCCAAATTTTCCACATCCTTGTAGTGTGGGCCCCAAAACTGGACACAGTACTCCAGATGAGGCCTCACCAATGTCGAATAGAGGGGAACGATCAAGTCCCTCGATCTGCTGGCAATGCCCCTACTTATGCAGCCCAAAATGCCATTGGCCTTCTTGGCAACAAGGGCACACTGTTGACTCATATCCAGCTTCTCGTCCACTGTAACCCCTAGGTCCTTTTCTGCAGAACTGCTGCCGAGCCACTCGGTCCCTAGTCTGTAGCGGTGCATGGGATTCTTCCGTCCTAAGTGCAGGACTCTGCACTTGTCCTTGTTGAACCTTATCAGATTTCTTTTGTCCCAATCCTCTAATTTGTCTAGGTCCCTCTGTATCCTATCCCTACCCTCCAGCATATCTACCACTCCTCCTAGTGTCTCTGAGAGCAGGATCACACCCAGAAGAAATAACAAAGCACTCAGTGCTAATCTTATCTTCCATCGGCAGGGAAAGCAGCTTGGTTTAGGAAGCAATCTATATTTGGAAGGATTGGATTTTTATCAGTAAATGTCGGTAAACATCGATTTCACTGTACGCACGTGGAAAAAATATTTCCCTTAATAATAAAAGAAATGTACAGACAGGCAAAGTAAGAAACACGCTGCTTGAGAACTTATTGGAGTTCGATTCAAGGATCTTTGCTTTGTATACTTTGGCACGTGATGTTGACAATTGGTGTTTTAATGATAATAAAGCTCTAACTTTTTGAATCTCAACATCTACTGTCGTTAAATAATTATTACTTGACCTCCCCCTTTTCATTTCCCCCAGCTGTGAAAATTCTAATCAATGAAAATAATTTTAAAAACAGCTTAAACCTCTTTCACAGCTTTTGCACTACAGTGAAAAATTAAATAGCTACATCCAGGAAAAAAAAGGCTTCAAAATAAATATTATTAACCATCAAAATTATAAAAAAATTCATACTGAATTTCCGCCAAGCTTACCCAAATTCCTAGCTCCTGTAGTCAGTCAGAGATCATTGATTTCACATCCCAGGGAAGCCCTGATTGTGAATACGAAGCCGCAGTAGCTATAGTCTACCCCGAAGACTTTCATTTAACTGACTTCACTTTCAGTGAGTGGGAAAAATAAAATTAAAAAGGGGAGCAAACGTTTTAGAGCCTGATCCTGCAGACCTTACTCACATGGAACCAGGTCCTCAG